CTATTTTTAGATCCCTAAGTTATCTCCAAACTTCTTTCCAAAAGGAATGTATTAGTTTGCATTCCCACCAACAGTGTAGAAGTGTTCTCTCTTCTCTATTTAGTAGAAATTTTGCAAAAATTGGACTCTTGAGGTCATACCCAAGGACAGAGCCTAGTTAAAAAAGAGCTCAGAGGAACCTTGCTAGTATTCCATCAAGAAAGGGAATCTTTATCATGTTTATAATATGTAGTTTGTTTATGCATTCACCTGTATGTAGTCAATTCAATGTTTTCAAGTTTCTATCTATTACAAATAAACCTGCTATGAGCATTTGTGTACAAGTCCTTGTATAAATGTTTTCATTTCCTTGGGTTAATAAGTACTGAAAAGTAGAAGGGGAGATCATATGATAGCTGTAGTTTGTAACTTAAAATACATGTGACTTTTCCCCAAATTGTTTGGATCCATCTTACATTTGTACAACTTTTTCTATATTCTTTTTTAAATTTCAAATTAATATGAGTGTACCGATGTTTAGGTTACTTTGTTTTCAATTCTAAGGTAAAGTTCAAGTTTTAGTTGAGCCCTTGCAAACACTTGGTTTGGTCAATTTAATATTTTTTTTAATCATCAAAAATGACTTTATGTTATCTATATATCTATATCTATATCTATCTATCTATCTATCTATATATATATATATCATTTTATTATTGGGGATTCATTGAGGATACAAAGAACCAGATTACATTGATTGCATTTGTTTGGTAAACTCTCTCTTAAAATTGTGTCCTACTCCCAAAAGGTGTGTCACACACTGTCATCCCCTATCCCCTCTCTCCTTCTCTTTCTCTGCTCTTTCCTTCCCTCACCCCTTCCCTGCTTCTCTCTCTCTGCTCTCCCTCCCCCTCCAGCATGTACTAGTCATTAAGTTTCTTCATATGAGAAATGAGTCATAGGATTCTTGCTTCTCCATTCTTGTGATGCTTTATTAAGAATAATGTGTTCCACTTCCATCCAGGTTAATAATTTTTAGATATAGCCATTCTTAGAATTGTTATGTGACATCTTGTGATTTGAACAAGCACTTTTCTAGCCTCTAGTGATGTTGATCATCTTTCTTATTTTATGTGCATATTTGCCATGCATGTCTCTTCTTTAGTAAAGTGTCTTTTCAAAAGCTAACCTGTGCTTTAACAAGATTACTTGTTTGTTCATTTCATAATTGAGTTTCGAGAGTTGCTTGTATGTTCTAGGCATAAATACATTTTTAGAACTATCATTTGCAGTTTTTTTTTATAGTTCATGACTTGTCTTTTAATTTTCTTACCAGGATTATTTGAAAAGCAGAAATCTTAAATTTTGAATAAAGTTAATTTATCCATTATTTTAGTAATCGTGCTTTGATGTTATACCTGAAAAACTTTGCTAACCCAAAGCTATAAATATTTTCTCCTATATTTTTCTCCAGAAGTTTTAGAGTTTTAATTTTAATATTAGTTTTATGATCTAATTTCAGTTAATTTTTCTGTATGTTGTGAGGTATGGATAGGCGCTCATTTGTTGCATGTGTATATTTAATTAATAGGACAATTTTTACCATATGTTGAAAAATTATCCTATTTCTTTGAATAGCCTCATACTTTTGTCAAAATTTAGATTATTTCTGTCTATCTTCTCTCTCTCTGTCTCTCTCTCTCTATATATATACACATATATATGTATATATATGTCCGTTTTTAAACTGTCTCCTGTTGTATTGTTGTGTTTTTCTATCTTTGCCACTACTGCACTATCCTTATACCTGTCATTTTATAATATATTGAAGTAAGGTAGTGTTGGTCCTTCAACTTTTTTATTCTTTTACAATTCTAAGTTTTTTGTATTTCCACATGAATTTTTGAATCAGCTTCTCAATCTCTACATGTTTTCTGGGTTTCATTGAGTTTACATATAACTTATCAATTTGAGGAGAAATGACATTTTAATGGTTTGAATCTTTTAAACCATGAATAGAGTATATTTATTTAGTTAGAAACTCCAGGATAATATTGAATAGAAGTGTGGAGAATAATTATCTCTCTATTGTTTTCAGTTTTGTTTCTATTTATAATTCTATTCTGAATTTTTGTCAGAAATGGATGTTATACCCTATTAAATAGTTGTTCTGGACTTACCTAGACAGGGGTTCTCAACTTGTGTGTGGCAACCCCTTTGTAGCAATGAAATACATCCTACATATCAGATATTTACATTATAATTCATAACAGTAGCAAAATTACAGTTATGAAGTAGCAATGAAAATAATTTTATGGTTGGGGATCACCACAACACAAGGAACTGTATTAAAGGGTCATGGCATTAGCAAAGTTGAAAGCTACTGTACTAAGACATTCATGTAAATTTTCTTTAGCATGTTATTATGGTGAGTTATACTTGTTGATTTTTTAATATGGAATCAAGTTGTTCCTGGGATAAACTCAATTTCACTGTGATGTATCATTCATTTATTAATCTCAAAAGGATAAGTTTTTAGTTTTATTGCTTTTTCTCAATTGTTTTTCTGTTTTCTATTTATTTTATTTCAATTATCTTTAGGTTTTTCTTTCTTTACTTTAAATTTACTTTTCCTCTAGTTTCTTAAGGTGAAAGCATAAGTTATTAATTTTAGAATTTTCTTCATTTTCCTATTTTCTTTCAAAATAGTTTATTGGTATATATTTTCATCTTCCTATAACAATTCCTCAGGAGCACCTCCCCCCAAACCCCAATCTGAGAGGTAGGCCACTTGGAAACATTAGGTCTTACTTTTAAGGCCTGTAAGAGTAAAGGCCTGTTAAGACTAAACTATGGCAGAGTTTAGTCTTGGGTTAATAATTCTCCACTGCTAAGGCAAGACCCTTCTATGTATTCTACTCAGAGTCCCATGAATCAGAAGACTTTTGTATCTGGCTGGTATTAACAGATACAATTGATCCATATGAACCTTGGGACTCTTTCCTCTAATCCTTACCAATGGCTCTTTCCTCCCCGGGAGGGGTTGCCTCCCCTGTTTGTGCCTGCCTTGTCTGTACCTGATTGAATGGTCTAGAAGGATCCTTTGCCAGGTATCTATAGTTCTCCTTCCTCTGAACTCTTCTCTCAGCAGTCTGCTCTGTGAGGTCCAACTACCTTGCTCTCCCATAACTCTTATTCCCATACCTTTCACTCAGGCTGTTTTTTGGCCTCTGTTTGGGTTCTTTTGTTCTGTGATGTCCCTGTAATTGCTCTCTGGTAAATTGTGGATACCTTGGGACACACTGGGTATTTACTGTTACTCAGGAATCGCTGCCCTCTTTTACCCGATGTGTGATGAGTTGAAAAGTCTTACTTCATATACTTTGTTATTTTCTAATTTAAGTGGGAAGGCAAATCTAGTCTCTTTTGCTGTATCTTGATCTGAGTCAAAGTATGGTCTTTATTTTTAAACTATTACTATTACACATGTACATCTGGTTGAGCCTCTTGGAAGGCTCAAGGAAGAACTTGAATCTTATATATAATTCTGAAAAGTTAGTGAGTGTCCACAATATATCTGGTGATTCCTTAATAATTATTAATAAATTTAATTAATCTCATATTTTGGAGTTAGTAATTTTTAGTTATTATGCTGAAACAAATTTATACGGACTGAATGATTATATAAGTGTGTTTAAAATATTAACAAACACATTGCAAATACTAAATATGATAATAACACTTTAAATATGATAGAAAGCATATTATGATAATTTATTTAATAAAATGCTATTTTTTATTGTTATAAAATGTTATTTTAATCTGATATTTTCTATTAACTAAATCTAACTTGTTTTTTGAGGCAAAATGGACGTGAATATATAAATATTTAGCTCTTCATTGTGAAAATGTAGTATTTTAATTTATTGCAGGTGATTGTCAAGTCTGGGCCAGGGACTTTCCTCAGTCTTGCTGTTTATGACAATTATATCTTCTGGTCAGACTGGGGAAGAAGAGCTATCCTGCGTTCCAACAAATACACAGGAGGAGATACAGAAATTCTTCGTTCTGATATTCCGCATCAACCTATGGGTATCATAGCTGTTGCCAATGACACCAATAGTTGTAAGTTACAATAAAAAGCAAATTTATTTTCTAGTTATATAGTCTCTGATATCTCAACAAGTATATTTATGTTTTCTAGAAATACTTAGTTGGATTTTGTTTTTAAAAATATTTAAATACTTCTTTTTTTACAATTACTATATGGATTTTGTTTTTTTTTTTTAGAGTTCTTAGGATAGTCTTCAGGATTTAACTATTCAGTATATCAAAACTGATAGCCCAGTATAGTGGCTCACGCTTGGAGTCCCAGCAATTTGGGAGCAGAAGTAGAAGGATGGCTTGAGCCCAGAAGTTTTAGGCTGCACTAAACTACGCTTGTACCACTGCACTCCAGCCTGGGTAACAGAGAGAGACCTGTCTATAAAAAGGAAGGAAGAAAGGAAGGGAGGGAGGAAGGAAGATGGGGAGGGAGGAAGGGATTATTTGAAAAGTTTAAGGCACCTTCTATAAGGCTTAATATACAGCCATAGGAATAACTTATTTTTAATCATATGTTTCAAAAGTGTTATTCCACTCTAACCCCATCATATCTTTGAACATTCAAATCGAATGAAAATGGTTCTTGATTAATAAATTTTTTATCTGAGCTTAAAAAGTTTTTAATCACTGGAATACCTACAAAATTGCAGTTTGCATTATCAATATAGTTTTTGGCAGAACTAGGTCATTTGATGCAGTGGAACCCTTGACAGGTAGGTTGAAAAGGTGTGGTGATTAATGTTACATATTTTTCTAGTGTATTTATGAATGCTTAAATTTTCAAAAGTCCTGAATGTTTCTTGTTGATGAGATGTTGTTGAGTGAGTGAGACAGTCTAATAGTTTACTACTTATGTATATCTAACATAGGATAGGTATTCAATTTGAAATATTACCCATAAAACCTCTTCATTTCAGGTGAACTTTCTCCATGTGCATTATTAAATGGAGGCTGTCATGACCTATGCCTTTTAACTCCCAATGGGAAAGTGAATTGTTCCTGCAGAGGGGACCGAGTATTGCTAGATGACAACAGATGTGTGAGTAAGTAAAGAAAACTGAACTGTAATACGCCTTAGTTGTTCAAAATGCCACACACATACACTAAAATTATTTCAGCATATTCATGAAGTTGAACTCTATAGCAATATCAGAAGCTTGGTTGATCTGTCTGTTTAAAAAATAACGCAGTTCACTGTTCTACTTATAGCAACATATGCTGTATAGTAACCAAAATGGTGACAAATGCTGTACCTCACCTGGCTGTGGACTGGAAGGTGTTGGGGCTACTAGGGGAGCTTCTATACATAATGATCGTTTGAAAACTTCCAGTCATGACTTTGTGAATGCAATCAATAGCAAAATTAATTGGAGCTAAATAAAGTATGCAGGCAATATAACATATCAGTAGCCTTGCAGTAAAACTACTCACAGTACATCACATATGTAAATGAGAGAGAATAGTTAATGCGGCTTATTTGTAATCATTTCCAAACTGTTAATTAAGAATGTAACATTGCAGCCTTGCATGATGTTTTTATCTCCCAAAGGCATTACAATCTTTAATTAGTACCATTACAATATAAACTTATTAACAACTAAGTTTCTAAAAACATTTCCAAAATAAAAAGGGGTTCAAGTCTTCCAATACTGACATGAAAAATAGCAAGCAGTATTTTTAAAAAGGTTAATTTTCATTTAACGTTAAGACAATCTGTATATAAGAAAAGTGGAAGAGAAGTATCCTGTTGGAAACTGGTGAATTCACCCTTAGCATATGTCATTTTTTGACACTTTTTTCCTCTCCTCATCTATATCCTCATATCATTTCTTTTTATCCTAGAGAATTAGCTGAATGGGATATGTCTAAATGATAATAATAATAATAGTAATTTTCATCTTCACCTTCAGTCTTCTTTTAGTCTTTATCTATCAGGAGGTTCTTTTTTTTTTTTTTTACTGGGTCTCTACTTGAGCACAAGTACTTAGATGAAATTTCCTTTATTTTGAAAACTATTCCACCTAATACAAGAATATAGACATATCATTTTACTTTGCAAATTGGTACCAAAATCCAAAAGTGCATGTCTTAGCAAAAAGG